TGGAATCAAGAAAAAAGAAGCAACACTAAAAAACAGAAAAAGACCCTGGCTTTCCAAGTCTGTAGCATCTTTTCGGTTGCTCTGTTTCAAGGACGAGGAAGTGAGCCAGTTGACGTGGGAGAGAACATTCCTGGATGAAGGACAAGGGGACAAGAGAAAATGGGTGAAGCGCTGGTGTTTAAGGAGAGTGATTTGAAGCCAGATAGCTCAGGGCCTTGAAACCCAGGGAGAAGCGCCATCAGGTGTAAGCCTTAGGAAGCTCACTCTGGCCTGGGTGTAGAGGATGGGCGGGGGAGAAGGAGGTGGGAGAGGCTGTTAAGACCCAGAGGACAGATACTGACATCCGAACTTAGTGGTGGAAGGGAGAGGGTGAGCGGAGCTGGGAACTACAGAGAAGGTGGAAGAGCTTTCTGGTTGGGGCCACTGGGAGTTCAGTCCTGAATGAGGAAAGAAGACAAATCAGTTTAGGATCAGCTGACTGTGAGATGGCTGTGGGATACGCAGGTGGAAATACCCCGGGGACCATTGGATAAGCACCTCCAGAAACCAGCAGGGCCAGAGGTCTGGTTTAAGGAGCTATTGGCATCTAGGTGGTAATTGAAGCCAAGAGTAGAGCAGCAGGGGGTGGGGGTGGGGGTACTGCTGTCAATATCTGGAGACAGTTTTGATTGTCATAGTGGGATAGGGGCTGAGCTTCCACTGGCATCTAGTAGGAGGAGGCCAGAGAGGCTACTAAACTTCCCAGAATGCACAGGAGCCAGTAAAGAATTACCGGACCTCAGTGTCAGCAGTGCTGAGGTCCAGAAAACCTGGAGATGGGGGTGTGTGAAGAGCAGGAAGAGGATGGTTATGGAGCCCTAGCAGAGAAGCAGGCCTTTAAGGAGGCTGAAAAGGAACCATCAGAGAGAAGCCACTGACCAGGGAAACTTCCTGTTACGTGAGCTATTGGCCAATCACTGTCAAGTACAGGGTAATGGATTAAGTGCTAAGGCAGGGCCTGAAGAGGGAGGCCGGTGAGGGAATCTCCAGATGAATCCTTCACTGCTGCCTCACCCCAAGCAGAAACGCTACAGACCGGCTGCCAGTGGACCCCCTGGGGACGCCAAAGAGCTTTATAGAGAAGGCCTCTTACCTTCTTCTCAGCCTTGCTCAAAAGACAGGCCATGGAGAAAGGGAAATTCCTGCAGCGTTGGGACTTGGGACTTGCGGTTAAACAGAGGCAGCAAGTTTCAACCCGCTGCACAAGGAAGAGCCTCTCCAAGTTTGCCTCTCCCGCCGCCTGGCAGGAAAAGGGTCAGGAGTTCAGCCGTTTCTCAAAACTGTACTTTCTTCCCTTGTAGGAATTTGGGCTGCAAATATTTTTCACTAAGCCAGGGGGTTTCAACTCACTGGATTCTACTGCTGGGAATGGCTTCCGATGTCATCCGGGTTATCCCCTGTGCTTGATATTTCGCTGGCCTGGTTTGGCATCTTGGGAGCTTGGGTCCCGTTCTAGCTGAAACTGGCATACCTCTCGAGTTGGCGACTGGCGACGCTGTGTTTGGACGCTCTGGCTTCCCCTAAATAGAACCTGACTCCTTGGATGAATCTCGAAATAATATTTGTGTCATTTGTCCTCTCCACTCGCCATGTTTAACTTACGTGCCCTAAAAAAATAATAATAAGACGGTGTATTTAAAGTGCTTAGCCCCATACCTAGCCCGTTGTAAATGCTCAATAAAATATCAGCTGTAGTTTCTGTTCCTTTTATTTCTTAATCCTGGTCAGAGTCAAACTAAACTATCGTTGTGGGTCACAATGTGACGACAGCTAAGCTGTGACCAAGCTAAGCTTTGGAAAGAAAACAAACAAAAAAACAAAACAACAACAAAAAAACCAAAACCAATTACCTACTGTGTGTTCAGGATTCTAATTAGACCATGTTTTTAAAGATTTACATTTAGAAACCACATTTTCATATTCCAACACCCCATGAAAATACCACATACCGGAATTCTTACTGCCTGGAGATTAATATACTTGCAATAATAAAGCCTCCTTTTTGTTTTGTTTTGGTTCTTGTGGAGACCTGAGCCAGTCGTCGGTTCTATCACTTCTTCCTAATAACAAGAAAAAAGAACACAAAATATACACACTTGCTTTCCATAGTACACAGGTTCTCACTCAATGCAAATACTTTCTTTCCGAGCACATCAAAAATCAAGAATTTAGGCTGCTGGGTTGGAAATCGCTTTGGGCATGAGGGGGGAAATTTTTTTTTTTTTTCATATTGTCATGTCGGCACTCTTCCCCTTCTCCTGGGTTTCGTTCACGTTGGACCGAGAAATAGGGAGTGAGAAGAAGGAAGGGGAACGTTGGTGGATGGAAAACATTTCCACACTGGAAGATGCGATTACTACACCTCTGGCAGCTCTGTTCCTGGAGCAGGTACAGACCGAATGCCATTCTGGAAAAAACCTGAGCCCCAGCTACTGGCTTCTAGACACGACAATAACAAAACCCAACTCCATGCAACTTGGGGGAGGTTTGTTTCTACAAGGTGTCCATCCTGTTCCAACAATGGCTCCCGGGTCCCACACCGTCGTCTCGCCGCTCAGCGCTCCTCACGCCCCCTCCTGGAGAAAGCAAGCGGGTTTCAGAATTAAAGGGCGGCCGAAGTTTTCCTTCCCCTCCAACTCTGTACTCGGGGAACCTCTAAGGCAGAGGGCGCAAAGTTCAGCTTGGGCCCAGATCGCGTCCTTCCCTCTCCCGAAATCATCTCCTGCACCTCTTGGATCCGGCGTCCCAAACGACTGCCAGAGACTCTTTCTCTTGGTGCGAAGAAAAAGGACTGGCCAGACTAAAAAGGAAGGGACTTTGGGGAAATGCAGGATTCCAGCCCTGGGCTGCGGCCCGGAGGAGATGATGTCACCGCTCCGACGAAGCGAGGGCTGGGGAGTGGAGGGTGAGGGGGGGGGTGGCCGAGGGGGAGCCCGCGCCGCGCCCGCCGCTGCCAAGGGAGCGTTCGGAGCCCACGTCAGGGGAGGTGTCGGGATAAATAGGGTCTCGCAATGGCCGGGGCCGGCCGCGCTCGGAGCTGCCGGGGCCGGGACTGGAGCTGCCCGGGCGGGTCCGCGCCCCGCAGGCTGAGGGCCGGCGCTGCTCGCGCTCGGTGCGCCGGACGCCGGATACCCCCGACCGGCCCGCGAGGCCCCGCACCGCCGCCGACGGCAGCGCGGGCGGAGAGCCTCTCCGGTGCCCCGCGGGGCTTCCTCCCCGGGGAAGGGAGAGCGAGAGCCTAGGGGGGCAGGGAGCCGAGGGCCCCTTCTGCCTGTCGGGGCGGCGGCGCGCTAGGGCAGTGCCATGCTGCTCTCCGTCCTGGCGGCGTTGTGCCTGGGGCTGCGCCTGGCGCTGGGCGTGCGCGGCGCGCCCTGCGAGCCGGTGCGCATCCCCATGTGCCGGCACATGCCCTGGAACATCACGCGGATGCCCAACCACCTGCACCACAGCACGCAGGAGAACGCCATCCTGGCCATCGAGCAGTACGAGGAGCTGGTGGACGTGAACTGCAGCGCGGTGCTGCGCTTCTTCCTCTGCGCCATGTACGCGCCCATCTGCACGCTGGAGTTCCTGCACGACCCCATCAAGCCGTGCAAGTCGGTGTGCCAGCGCGCGCGCGACGACTGCGAGCCCCTCATGAAGATGTACAACCACAGCTGGCCCGAGAGCCTGGCCTGCGAAGAGCTGCCGGTCTACGACCGCGGCGTGTGCATCTCGCCGGAGGCCATCGTCACCGACCTCCCCGAGGGTGAGCCTGAGCCGGAGGGAAAGGAAGGACCGAGGGGGGTGAGGGTGCATTCTTGGCTGTGGCTTCCACGGGAGAACCCACCGGGCGGCCCCTTCTACCGATGCCAGTGGGTGGGTGGGCTGTCGGTCCCCCCAGCCACCGCCCCCCCCCCCCCCGCCACCCAATCTCACTTCCGACAATTGGAGGAGGTGGGAAGGGCGGTGACCTGACGTGGGTACAAGTCTGCTCTCCCTACAGAAACGTAGGGGGCGGAAGAACACCATGTCCCATAGAGAATGTAAGGGGAGGGGCGGGTAGGGAGGTGCTTCTAAAGAGAGCCATTAGCATTTTCCTTGACAATGATAGAATAATAGCAACGAACACATATATAGGTGGGGTCCGAGCCAGTGTTCAGCGATTTCCGTGTACGGTTTAATGCTTAAAACAGCCCCATCAGGGTTCTCCACTTAGTGCTAGCTCTTGAAAACTCTTTTTTGGGGGGAAAAAAAAAGGCAGTAGCAGGCATCACTCCCCAGGAGGAGTGCAGTTTGTAAATTTAGTCCTTCTGGAAAATTGTGATGTCTGTTTCACGGTCGACATCTTATCTTGCGGCATCTTGGTTAACTGGATATCAACTTCCGCTTCCTTTTTTCGGTCATTTTGCTGCTTTTCTAGGACGAAGGAACAAATTTAAGTCCACTTCTTGAAGTCAAGCCTAAGAATATTTTTGCATGCTTTTTTTTATCCCTGACCCAGGTTACTGAACTTTTAAAGAGATTATGCTGTTGCCTTAGTGTAGTTTCTGAGGTTATGTCTCAGAGCATTGTCCATAACGTGAAGAAAGAGAAGTATAAGGAAGGGAAAATCGAAACTCTTCTCTAATTCAGAGCTTTAGAGAAAAACATATTTGTTGCTTAAATTATATAAATGATAGAGGGTTATGCCTTGGCCGGTGGGGGGTGGGGGGAGTCTTATATAGCTGTGGACTGTTTCTGCACTGGGAAATGAGAGGTGGAGATTTGGAAATATTCGGGATATTTTGATTAGTGTCAACTGTCCACTTGGAAAAATCCATTTTAAAATGGATTTGGGTGGGAAAGTTAGCTGTATGTGTCAGCCAAGTCAAATGGACGGGCATTCACATCAATTTGTGCTGGATGGGCAAAACCTCACTCAAAAGTCTTCTTTTCTAAGCCCAAGAATGTCTGTATGAAAGAAGTAGTTGACAAGCCGATGCCACTTTTACAACGTTAGTTATTATTCTTTGGTAACGCCGTGTTAGTTCATTTCTCCAGATGGTTCTTTATTCCAGTGGGGTGAACGGGCTAAGTCACTGACCACACCCATGCGGCTGTGTGTGTGTTTCAGACGTTAAGTGGATAGACATCACGCCAGACATGATGGTACAGGAGAGGCCTCTTGATGTTGACTGTAAACGCCTAAGCCCTGGTGAGTTCCTTCTTCTCGAAGTCCCCTTTTTTTTTTTTTTTTTTGCCTCCTCCCCAGAGTGATTTCTGAACACTTTCCCGACTCTCTGCCTCTCTTTTGTCTCCTTCAGACCGCTGCAAGTGCAAAAAGGTGAAGCCGACTCTGGCGACATATCTGAGCAAAAACTACAGCTACGGTAAGTCGTCCGATGAAGCCGTTCACTTGACGAGTTGGCCAATTACACAGCCAGTCACGAAGCCAATCCCAAAGTAAAGAAAGCCAATCCCAACGTGGTTCACGATGTGGGTTCTGGAAGGCACAATAACAACTATAAAATGCCTTGCTCTTCGGGGTAAATCAAGCAAAAACAACGTAAGTTACCCAGGGAGAACAGCGATGTGGCTCAGGGCTCAAATGTGACATCAAGGTCCTCTTGGTCTCGGTGAGAGGTGCCACTCAGCCAGGACAGCCCAACTGACTTTTTCTTTTCCTGAGGTTTCCTTGCTGCAGGAAGGATGGGTGAGTGATCCATGGATTTGATTATCTGAGGCCCAGAGGCCCAGGAACTAAGACCTGCCCATGTTTCTTTTTAGTTATAAACACTTACAGATATTTAACACCTAAAAGAAACTGTAGAGAAATAGGTTAATCATGAGACCCTCTGGCTAGAAGTATTGACATCGTTTAAATGCCCTCCTATTTGAAAGAACAGTCAACACGGCTATTTTCAATTTTTTTAAGTAAATGTAATTCTACTGTTCTCATTTGAAAGTAAATTTAATTGAAAATATGTTCTTTTAAAATATCTGACTTGTTTTATATTCCTTTGCATTTCTTTTTTTTTTTTTTAATGTTTATTTATTTATTTCTGAGAGAGAGAGCTAGAGAGCGAGCAGGGAAGGGGCAGAGAGAGAGGGAGACAGAATCCCAAGCAGTCTCCCTGCTATCAGCACAGAGCCCAATGCGGGACACGAACTCACAAACCTTGACAGCGTGACCTGAGTTGAAACCAAGAGCTGGACGCTTAACAGACTGAGCTACCCAGGCACCCCCCCCTCACCTTTGCATTTCTTAAATTACTTCTGCTGGAATAACAGAACTGTTTTGGCAAAATGGTCATTTTATTTGTTAACTTTGTTTTCCATATTTCAAGCTGAAATTTGAAATCATAAACCTTATGTTACATATCGCATGTGAAAGTAGGAAGATCGTGGCAATATAAAGGGCTGAAAAAATAACCTCTTAGTGAAGTTGTTAGGTTTGAGATTATAGCCAATGTGGGTAACTCTACCAAAAAAAGAAAAAAAAAAAAAACAACTGACTTTTCGGGTAGCTTTTATTGTTGTCGTTTGAAAACTGTTCTTTGTAGATATTACGTTAATCTAAACGATTTTGCCCCTCCTCTGACACTATCCAGCCCTAGTTGCTAATCTGAGTTTCACTGTCTTGCTGTCCACGGTGTCATTGCCACATAACTTCTTTGAGGATGAAACCATTTTCTATTTAAGTCCGTTGCCTTCTTCCTAAACCAGCTTTCTAGGACGGAATCCAAGACAGAGATCCATGCTAGGCTGATTACAATTCCATGGAAGGCAGTAATAGCAAGGGACCAGAAGGGCCAAAATTTTAAGCTTGATCAGACAGTGATTACTTAACAGCTATCCGTAATAACAGTTATACATCTGCTTGCCGCAGACCTTGCTTTGACAGTCTGTGAAATTAAAGGATTAAGAATAGTGATCTTCAGAGACTCTTTCCAGGTCACAAATGTTACAGCTTTAATAACTTCCTTTGGAAGACAGGAAGTCCCAGCATCAGACAGGCGGTTGGACCATACAAATTGTAAAGTGGCTTGTGACTCTGAGAACATACGATTCTCACTTCCGATAATCACAAGGCAGAGTCTACTTGTTTCTATGAAATTTTTACTGACGTTCTATGTAACTGAATCTCCTGATATGTTCTCGGCAAACAAACGTCCAAACAAAACTGACGTCAGGTTTTTAAGGCTGAGAAAAACCTGCGAGGTTCTGTTTTCACATCCTCGCTGTAGCCCAGTGAGGAGCAGACCCAGAGGCTGACCCAGAGGCAGAGCCCAGACCGAGCCCGCCTGTCGCTTTGCTCTTACGTCTTGCAGGCTGATCCAGAACTTTAAAGACAATGCTGACAGTATGATTGTGTGGGCTTTTGGCCTGCATCTGGGCAGCTTGGACATGACCATAATTACAGGAGGGATTCTTTAAGAGAGGCTCAGGGCTTGGCGTGAATACACCATCCCTATTTGTCTGCAGAGGCCTCATCAACACTTCCATCAATTTTTAAATTGCAGTCATTCACGCCAAAATAAAAGCTGTGCAGAGAAGCGGCTGTAATGAAGTAACGACCGTGGTGGACGTGAAAGAGATCTTCAAGTCCTCATCACCCATCCCTCGGACGCAGGTCCCGCTCATTACCAATTCTTCCTGCCAGTGCCCCCACATCCTGCCCCATCAAGACGTGCTCATCATGTGTTACGAGTGGCGCTCCAGGTAGGCACAGAGCAGGAGGGAGGAAACCGCACACTGCTTAATGGAAACGTGAATCCCATTTACCAGTCGTGGTGTTTTTTGTTGTTTTTTTTTTAACGGCGCCAGTAGTTCTTTTTACAAAGGCAGTTTAAGGGGCGCCTAGGTGGCTCGGTAGGTTGAGCACCCGACTCTCGATTTCGGCTCAGATCATGATCCCAGGGTTGTGGGATCGAGCCCCACGTCAGGCTCTGTGCTGAGTGCGGAGCCTGCTTAAGATTCTCTCTCTCTCTCTCTCTCTCTCTGTCTCTCTCTCTCTCTCTCTCTCCTCTTTCTAAATAAATAAATAAATAAATAGACAATTTAAAAATAGTTCAGTAGGGGCGCCTGGGTGGTGCAGTCGGTTAAGCGTCCGACTTCAGCCAGGTCACGATCTCGCAGTCCGTGAGTTCGAGCCCCACATCAGGCTCTGGGCTGATGACTCAGAGCCTGGAGCCTGTTTCCGATTCTGTGTCTCCCTCTCTCTCTGCCCCTCCCCCGTTCATGCTCTGTCTCTCTCTGTCCCAAAAATAAATAAAACGTTGAAAAAAAATTAAAAAAATAAAATAAAAAAAATAATAAAAATAAAAATAGTTCAGTAAATAAAAATACAATTTCAACAGATGCCTCTGTTGCGATAATCACATAGCCTAAATATCATTTAATTCCCTGTGGCATTAAGGAACAGTAGGAATATGAGTATTTGAGTAGGATGCTTAAAAATCAATTTCAGAATTCGTTAAAGGACTTCAAAAATCGTAGGCAGATAAATTACTATGAGTGAAAACAATTCTTTTCAAATGATTCAAATCAATCTTGGTGTGGCAAATACTTTAATTTTTTTAAAGAGCTCTTTAATGATCAGGTAAAGATGGCCATTTATGACGACAGGTCCACATTTCCTTACACACAATATAAGTACATGACATTTGTTTGATAGATCATTGCGTACACACACACATTCGCACTCACGCTCACACACATATATCCGCGTACCTCTAGCTGGGAGTGTGTTTCCCCACATCTCTTTTCTTGGCATATTTTTATATATTGGTACATTCCTTAGAATGTAAAAATCAAACTCTTCAGACCAGGGTGCGGGATGGGCCCCCTAACTGGCTGCAGTATACATCTCCAACAGAATCATTCATATTTTATGTAACCAGTCTTCCCTTTAATTCCCTGCCATTAATGCTCATCTGTTTCTTCTGGGTACAGCTGTGGGCTGTTTTTTCAAAACACCTTTTGCAACTGACCTCACTTGAATACCTTCCTGATCTGTATTCTATCTTTCCTGATCTATACCCTTGGCTTTTTTTTTTCTTTAATGTTTATTTATTTATCTTGAGAGAGAGCAAAGGAGGGGCAGAGAGAGAATCCCAAGCAGGCTCCGTCCCTGTCAGTGCAGAGCCTGACTCGGGGCTCGATCCCACGATTGTAAGATCATGATCTGAGCTGAAGTCAAGAGTTAGACACTCAACCAACTGAGCCACCCAGGTGCCTCATGGGTATTCTTGGCTTTCAAACTGTTCTCCTTATTTCTTGTCTCTCTAAAGAACGAATGAATGTTGACTGAATGTTGCTGGGCTCTTCTCTCGCATGGTGTTTGTACCTGGTACAGGACTAGGTGCAGTTCTGGGAATGTACCAGACTGCTAGTCATCAAATTCTGTTTGGATTCCCGTCATCCATTCTGTTCATTTATAGATTTAATGGCATTCTGATGAAAATACCAGTAAAAAATATTTTCGAATGATCGGGATTTATGTCTTCACACAATGATCATTTGGAAGCACAAACTGGCAAGGGCGTGTAAAGGACATTTTGAAAATAACCGTTTGGAAGGAAATCGGTTTCTGCCTCAGGAGAAACAGAAAACTGGAACAAAGCTAGACTGCTAAAACCATGTGGTACAAGAGTAGACATGCAGATAAATAAAACAGAGGAAGCATTCTTGAGACAGATGCTAATGTGTAAAGTACTGTATTAGGAAGGAAAAAGGGCAAATCCATTAGACGTGAGTATATTAGTTAGTAAGTGTTGCAAATGTTTTTATTTGGAAAAAATAGTACCTATTTTCACTTTATACTAATACCATAAAATGAATTTCAAATGGATTCAAGAGATATTTTTTAAAACTTAATCATAGAGGGTAAAATTAGGTGAATAGATAGATGTATGAATTCTGAATAACAAAATACTTTGCAAACATGAAATTAATGTAAAAAATTACAAGAGGAAATGTCAATACATACCTTGGATGACATTATATCATGGACATAAAAATCACCAAAGAAAGCCAATAAAAGTTGAGAAAGATACTTGTAATAGTTATGGCAAAGGGAGAGTAGCCTTACTCTATAAAGAGTTCATATAAGTTAAGATTTAACACATTAAGACTACAATATATAAATAATATGTACATAAATCTATATGGACACGTTCCAGAAGAAATACAAAGAGTAAATAAATTTACCTCTTTAATTCTCCAATCCAGAGTAAAACATGATCTGAATGAAAGTTCAACCATTCTGAAAACGATTTAGAAAACTTTGGGAAAGTACATACTCTTGGACCCAGTAATTCTACTTTAAGAAATCTGTCCTAAGGAAATAATAACCCAGTGCACACTAGTAAATATACAAGGATATTCAACAAAAAGCTGTTAATAGTAGCGAAGCAATGAAAGGGATTCAACAGTAGAGAAAGGCCTAAGTATCATTATTGCAATATTATGTGGTTATTAAAGCAGTATTCTAATTATATGAGAAAATGCATATAATAGAATGATAAAAAGAACTGTACATTGGGACCTAAATAGTGTGATTTAAGAATATAGGTACAAGGAAGAATAAAAGGAAATGCTAGTAAAATATAAATGGGGGATATGTGGATTGTAGAGTTAAGGGTTATAAAGAATTTTGATTTGTAGGGGCACCTGGGTGGCTCAGTTGGTTAAGCATCTGACTCTTGATTTTGGCTCAGGTCATGATTGCACAGTCATGAAAAGGAGCCTCACGTCTTATGCTTAGCATGGAGCCTGGTTTAGATTGTATCTCTCTTCCTCTGCCCCTCTCCCTGGCTTGCACACTCTCTCTCTGTCTCTAAAAAAAGAAAAGAAAAGAAAAGGCAGGGAAAGGGAAAGGGAAAGAAAAGAAAAGAAAAAGAAAACAACGAATTTTGGATTTGACAATTTTTTTGTATTTTTTTTTAACTTTTTCCTTTCATAATCAGAATTGCTTAAAATAAATTCCTTTTTTTCTTTCAGGATGATGCTTCTTGAAAACTGTTTAGTTGAAAAATGGAGAGACCAACTTAGTAAAAGATCCATAGTAAGTATAATTAGCAACCCTGCGCATATGGATTTAAGCGCAGGTAAAGAAATTCTATAGAACTGGGGATTCTTCCTTCACCTTCTTCCATCTCCAGGCTCTCATAGGAGGTTGAAATAACATCAGTATTTGTCTTTCGAATAAGTAGTTAAGAACAAAGTTATTCTCACTTCAACCTCAAAGATGATTTGTTACACTCAATCTTCATCTAATGGTTATTTCCAGATTAAATTAGGGTTTGTTTTTTTGGTTTTTGTTTTTGTTTGTTGTTTGTTTGCTTTTAACTATTTTAGCGAACAGTCAGGCACTTGAGCAGAGTTCACATCCAGCGGGATTAAAACAGACATATACATGTAATGGTGTGAACCCACAATTCTAAAATCCATGCTACTGTCTCTGTACAAAGCATAATCTATCCCCATATTTAAAATAGTTTTGAGACTTTTGTCAAAATAAATTATATATACCAACTGTAATCATTTTGTGGCCAAATCCGTGATTTTTGGTGGTATCATCATAGAAATATTCGCAATGCAATTAGAGGATTAGAATAATTTTTTGCCCAGAGATATGCTGTCACACCAGAACTAAAGAAATCAGGTCATTGGTTTGAAATCTTTAAAGCATTCCCTCTCCTGTAAATACGTTTAGATAGATGTAGGAGAATTTGTGCTGTCAGGTTCACAAAAGGTCCTATTACTGCCTGTGTGAGGAAGAAGTCTATGTTAATACTGACTTAATGGAGAAGGTAGTTTGAACATAGCCTCGTCTACTCTGTGCATTTCAGAATAACATGACTTCCATCTGAGCTGAAAACCGTGGAGCTGTCAGGAGCACGCTTAGCCTTACTGGATAGAAGATTCTAGCAGGATGGGTTATCTGGTTTCCAAGACTACAGTGGATTAGAGGCATCAGTGTAGAAAGCAAGTCCACCATGAGATCCTGGGAGGAAAGAAAGCTTTCAAGAACCAAAGCTATTTAGAGGCCCCTGGGTGGCTTAGTCGGTTAAGTGTCTGACTTCAGCTCAGGCCGTGATCTCACGGTTTGTAGGTTTGAGCCCCGCTTTGGGCCCCACACTGACAGCATGGCGTCTGCTTGGGATTCTCTGTCTGCCCCTCCCCCACCAGCGCTTTCTCGCTCTGTCTCTCTCTCTCTCAAAAATAAATAAACTTTAAAAAAATAATTAGGGGCACCTGGGTGGCTCAGTCAGTTAAGCGTCTGACTGGCTCAGGTCGTGATCTCGTGGTTCGTGGGTTCAAGCCCCACGTCGGGTTCTATGCGGACAGCTCGGAGCCTGGAGCCTGCTTCGGATTCTGTGTCTCCCTCTCTCTCTGCCCCTCCCCTGCTCACACTCTCTCTATCAAAAAATGAATAAACATTAAAAAATTGTTTTTAGGGGCGCCTGGGTGGCGCAGTCGGTTAAGCGTCCGACTTCAGCCAGGTCACGATCTCGCGGTCCGTGAGTTCGAGCCCCGCGTCAGGCTCTGGGCTGATGGCTCAGAGCCTGGAGCCTGTTTCCGATTCTGTGTCTCCCTCTCTCTCTGCCCCTCCCCTGTTCATGCTCTGTCTCTCTCTGTCCCAAATAAATAAAACGTTGAAAAAAAAATTGTTTTTAAATATTAAAAGAAAAGAATCCTAGCTGTTTGGGCCATTCACTTTTGCAGCAAATATTCTAATAAACTTCAGTAAGAATTCGAAGATATCACCATATAATAGCAAATGTAAGATGTTTACTATTTTAGAACAGATTAGAGTTGTGCCCTGGGAAGGTGGGGACAGTGTTTCTCATTTCACTGTATTTCTAGTGACTAGAGCAATGTCTGGCCTGTGGTCATGCTCAAACTCTTTGCTGAATGAAATATAACAAAGTAGGGGCATTTGTGTTACAATAAAAAGCAGTGTCTATTCAAGGAGCCTTTTTCAGTTTTTTCTTACATGCAGCTACTTAAATAAATAGTATTTCTTTCTATAATAAGAGGTATATCTTTTTCTATCAAGGAAACAACTACCCAGAATGCCTCATTTCTCCTGGGTTCTGGGTAGCTAGCACTTGAGTGGATTACTAGACGTGAGTGGGGTCTCTGTTTTCCTTCTGATGTAAGAGAATTAGGTGAGCCCATCCATAAATGTGGGAATAGACCTTTGGACTTCCTAGTGAGGCTGGATAAATTTCTGCTCTTAGCCATATGTCAGAGCCTTTTTAGAAGGCTTTGCTGTGTAGGAATGTTGCATCATAGGGCCTGTGGGCTGGGGCCTTGGGCTCTGGAGTCAGACTGGGTGAATTTGAATCCCAGTTCTGACATTTATCAGCTGTGTGGCCATCTACAAATAAGCTCTGTGTGCTCGTTTCCTGGTCATGACCGTGGTGTCCACCTAGAAGGCTGTTGTTACAGTGAAACGAACGCTTATCAAAACTTCCTCCCATACTGAGCCCTTCTCAAATCATCTGGTATATGCTAAGCGCTCAATAACGGAGGGTAGCTATTTTATTTGCTGTCACGATTCATAGATTACAGTGGGAAAAAATTGCATTAATTCTGATATTAGGGCAACAGCATGACATGATGAGATGCATCTGATGGTCATGTGTGCAAATTGCCTCCCAGCAGTGGGAAGAGAGGCTCCAGGAGCAGCGGAGGACAGTTCAGGACAAGAAGCGAACGGCTGGGCGTACCAGTCGTAGCAACGCCCAGAAACCAAAGGGAAAGCCGCCCTCTCCCAAACCGGCCAGCCCCAAGAAGACCGTCAAAGCTAGGAGTGCCCAGAAGAGAACAAACCCGAAAAAAGTGTGAGCCACCTGCTTTCCAGAATGGAGACTGCCTCTCAGGATGAGGCCAGGCACCCCCCAGCCAGCCTGGGGGGGGGCGAGGTGCCCCTCTCCTCGCCTTAACGACTGCAGTCCTCCCCATAGACACATCGTACAGCAGTTTTCTTAGTGATACGCTTCAATTTTTTCTTTTTAAGCCACCACAAAACCCTAGTGGTAGGTATGTCCTTTGGTATGGAAGGTATATGAAAGCTGAGAGCTGGTGGACAAAGCTTCTAGCGGCATTCAGAGTAGCCTTCATGGTGCGTGGTCTGTGAGATCTCTGGGTGGGGAAAGGGTGCTTTGGTCCTTACCATTTGACCTAATATGTGCATTGTAAAATGAATGCCATATTACAAACAAACCCCCCCATTTTTTTTTTTTTTTACAATATGTTGTATTTCAGCTTGACTTCTGTTGTTAGAATGTTCGTCATGTTTCAGAATGTGATTGAAAATGCAATGATTCTAAGGAGGGAAGCAAGAGGAATGAAGAATGAATGTCTTAAAAGATCTTTCTATGTTTACTGTTTGCACAAGAATTTCTGTGATGAAAGGGAATTTTCGAACAATCTAGAAAAGTAGGATATGGAAAACTGTAATGTTTGTTTTTGGTTTTGTTTCTGTTTTTTTTACAAAGAAGCCTTTCACCTAGAGTTTTTAGCTAGACACACTCTAGAAACTAAAATAATAATGATGATAACTAAATAAATAAAAGGGAAAGGCAGACATACCACATCCGGATCCTTATTTTCTGGTTACCACGCCGTTGGGTGGAAAGGCTCTGAATTTACATTCCTTTACGCTTCTCGTTAGTAACCATTACATGGCACCAGAAACAGAGTGTGTTTCTCCTCTGATGCTTTATATGCCAATGACTCCACCCCCAAGAATTTCACACGGGTGTATGTGATGCTCATGTCATTTCCCAGGATGCCCTAGGCATCTTGATGCCAAGCCTGAAAGAATTTTCTCTCTGCTGGTAGCTGGTGCTTACAGAGGTGCTGTGGGCCCAGTGTGGGAGGGCCAGGCCTCCAAAGCCCCTGGTTCTCAGCCACCGCCCCACACCAGCTCTGCCCCTGGAAAGGCAACTACGTTCACTCTTCCATTCAAGGATGTAGAGGAACGACCTGAAAGCTTACATAGAAAATCTCCTTTAGGTTTACCATTGCCCCTGCTTCTCAGAGAAGGAGTAAGTGACATGTTGCACTCACACAAGATCATCAGACACATGATCTAATCTCACCTCTGTAAGCCACTGGGACGCAGAAATGAGGTGTGTGGGTAAGCCAGGGGAGAGTGGAGAAACGGGGCTAGTAAGAATGCCGGCATGGGCTCCCCTCTCGTCCTAAAAGTGTAACAGGACGCCTGTGTCACCACCACCCCAGGGCAGCAGAGTTAAAGGAATCCAGTAGATGGACTGACACAAGGGTACCAAGAAACACTCGGTGTATGTTTCTGCTATATGAAAGGCCAAACTTCCTTGGCCCTTAAGGACTGCCAGATACGTGTTTAGCAGAGCATCCAAAGAAAGGCCATTAAACGGCCCTGGCAGCCTAGCTTACCTCCTTAGCATTGTAGGGCTTCTTCGGGGAAGGGAATCAGAAATGGAACTCTTCGTGGGAATGGAGAAACAAACACATATGAAAAAACAAAAGTAAACACTATTTTCAGTGCAATACTGAATACAAATAAGAGTTTGGAGATGACTACATACTCAAGCACTGTTTACTGAAAATATTTAACTGAAATCATATACTGAATATTACACAAAACTTGCTACTTCGTTAGGAACAACGATATATTATACGATACTTAACTGTGCACATTTATACATCATACGATATGTAATCGGGTGTGTGTATCAGTTTGATTAATAAATAAAAGAGTTAAGCAGGCCTCCAGTTATTATGAAAAAGTAAAAAACATCAGCCCACACTAAGAGTAATATAACAAGTGTGGTAGTGGTCTTTGGTGAGGATCAGAGATTTATTTTTCTCCCTTAAATATTTTCTCCATCCAAATACATGTGAGAGGAAGTAAATATTAATATGTGGAGAGGAAAGCTGAGGTATTGAAATGATAATTATTTGAAGGTTGGATTGCTTATGTGAGGAAAAAACATTTTTGCAATATTTTGATCAACAAATTTCATAATTAAGGACAATGGGAGGCATTTACTTTTTCAATAATTTTGTTGGTCTTTCAATAATACAGTAAACATGTATTTTCTAGAAAGTATTTAATATGTGCATAAAATACAAGTAGTGGAATTATAATCCTACCTAATCCTATCATCACTATGCAGAGGTAATTGCTGTTAGTATTTTGGTGTACAATTGTCCAGGTGTTTCTTACGCATTTATATAATGATTTGAGTAAAAAAAAAAAAAAAAAAAAAAAAAAAAAAACAGGAGCTTATTATACATATTGTTCATTAACCTTCCTTCTTCACTCAGCCTCTTATTGAGATGAGTTCTCATGTCAATAAAGCTGATGCCACCTCATTTATAATGGCTCCGTTGTAGTCCGTGGTTGCTTTACTCTACCAACCCTTACGTTATGAGGCATTGATGTTGTTTCTTAACTGAACATACTGAATAACTGAGTCAACATCTTGATAACTAATATCTGTGCACATCCTTCATTGGTTCCCTTGGGATAAGTCAGTTTAAGTAGCACTGCTGGGCCATAGAGTTATGTTCACCGAGGAAAGTCCTCGATTATGGTGTCAATTATCCATCAGGATATTGGACCACAGATAGGTAAAAATGTTGACTCTCCAAATCCTCACTAAGATTGTTTTGCCCTGCCAGTATTTCTTTATAAATCTTAGCTGGAAACCGGATGTCGTCTTGGGCAAAGCCCTGCTCTTCCTCTGTGAGCTATCACTGACCACATTCTCAACACTCCAAATACTCAGGAAGCTGGGGAATGAGTGATGAAGGACTTCAAAGAGGATATAGTTGATGGACAGATAGATGATTGATAGATAGATTATGATGAGATGATTGATAGACAGATGATGATGATAGATGGCAGATAAGATAGATGATAGATAAGATAGATGATAGATAAGATAGACTGATAGATAAGATAGATGACATAGATGATAGATGATAGATACATAGATGATAGATGGTGATGATAAATTAGATGATAGATGATAGATAGATAGATAGATAGATAGATGATAAATCTCTTGACTTGGGAAAGTCTATACAACCTCCTCAATCTTTTTAATGATTCAAATTTAGTAATATAACCAGTCAGCTAGAGAAACCAAAGAATTAGGGTGTAACAGACATGTCAATAGATTTGCTCTCAGTCCAGCCTTCTTTTAACATACATGAGAATTTGGATAAATAACCTTAGTTTCTTACTTTTTAGTTGAAACCAATGCAGTGTGAACACACTTTTGGTTTCTGTCCTTGGATACTTAAAGAACTATCCATTGCAAACTTACAATAAAACTCCTTTACTTGAACTAGCTTTAGGGTACTTTTTGTTGGGTGGAACTAGTTCCTAAATAAAAATGAAGGGCATGTGGTTGGGGTTTTTTGTTTGTTTGTTTTTTGTTTGTTTTTTGTTTTGGCTTTGGGGGGTTGGTTTGTTTTGTTTTGTTTTGTTTTGTTTTTTTAACCACAAATTTCTACCTGCTGTTATCACCAACTCAAAAAGCAAAAGTGGTTATTTGGAAGTGTGCAATGAGAAAGTTGAATGGGACCTTAGAACTCATAAGCCAGCCCAAAAGAGAAAAGCTATCCTAGGGCTTATCTGACACCTCACATATTGCTAGAGAAAGATCTGGGCCCCCAGAGTTACTCAATTTTAACTTAACAGGCCAAAGTGCTCTGCTTGGTCAGTAACATAAACCCCGGTTATTCGAGGGAAGGCTCATGTATCACCACACAAAGAGCAATAGGAACCAATCATTGCTTCAGTTATAGAATAATATACACCAATACTAATCATATTTTCTAATGGGAAAGTAATTCTTGAAAAGCATTTTACTCTAAAAGATGTATCATGTAACAATGACAGCCATGTCAACCAAAAATGTTAGTGAATTGTCAACTTGGTGACTTAACTGATAAACAAGCAATGATGTGTTCTTCAGATCAACGGAGTATGTGGGATGGTGTATTTACCTTAACATTAGTATTCTAAAGGAACGCTCGACCCTAGGATGGCAATGAAATATCCCCCCTTTTTGTTATTTAAACAACAGAGATAAGTAGAGAAAAGACAGAGAGAAAAGTACTCCAAATGTTAAAATCAGCATTTTGATGCCAACCCTTCCAGACTCTCTCTGTTTGAGTGTATGATAGAATAATGTAACATGACTGCCTTTCCATATAAAGAAATAAAACTGTATTTTCATTTTCTACAACCACATAGTTTAGAGGTACCAGAGTTTATTTTGCCAGTTACTTGTGAGCAGGGATGTTTAAATGTGGTTCCTAAGGCACGCCAGATTTTTGTGACACAAATAATTTTCCACTCGGATTGAATTTTCAGGACGAGAAAAAAAAAATGAGCACAAGAGTGCAAAGCGTAAGTGCTTTTGCATATTTTGTTACTTTTAGTACATGTTACTTTTAGAAGATGCTACAAAAATATCATGAGAGAGAGAAAAAGGGAGAGAGAACAAAATGGAATGTCGTATGGTTGTAAGCCATGTAGACACGTAAACATGAAAACGGCTTCGTCAATGACATGTATGTTGATCTGGGTCCTCGGAGAAGCAGGCACAAAATGGAGTTAAGCATGGAAGGATTCCATTTGAGGAAACACCTACTGAGAGAGACAGGAGGGGAGATGAACAGGGCTGGCAGAACAGACAACGGGAGGGAAGGGAGGTTGAGTGGATGCACTCCAGACTTCCTCGATGTCTTAAGGAGAATTTGGCAAGGCTATTGGGGAGCGTTGAGACAAGCAAGACATCCAGTCCCTCCTCTCCCGGGAGCAGCTCTGCCCTCGTGTCCTGCCTCACTCGGTCATGGATGGCAACCAGTCCATGAAAACCTGGTCTTGGCACAATGTTAGCAATGCATTGCAGACCATGGTGTCTGGATACCTGGTCAGTAACGGTCCCCATGGTTGGTGTCAAGCAACAAATGTTCCAGTCAACTTTGGAAATTGCCATCTATAAACAATTTGAATCTGTAAAACCCCAAAACTTCAATGTCTTCACGTCTTTTTTGTTTTACTTCAAATTTATGGAAGAGAAAATGTGCCGATCACAGCTACAGTCTTACGGTATTCACCCTTCTACCTAAGAGAGGTTTCTTTGTACTAGAATGTAAAGAATGGAAGTTAGGAGGTAGTTAACAAGGCAATTCATGGCAGTAATAAAGTCCATGATGTGTAATTTTGCCTTTACAGGTCCACACAGTGTCAGCACAAAAATATAAGCATCAGTGTATCTAGCTCAATATTTGTATGAGATCCATTTTCTAACTGGATAATCCTAAAATATGTAGCTGGAATATCTAGATGAGAACCACTTTATAATGGTGAGCGTGGATCGCATTAGTGATGTACTTTGAAAGGGAAAACGAGCATACTTCGTTAGCAATGAAATTTAGCTAACAGGGAAGACTCATACCCAGAGGGCCGATTCCAAGCGTCACAACATTGTAACAACATGAATCACATGATGAAGTGCAAAGTACTTGGATTCAGCAAAAAATGGTATTATGAATAAAATTCCATCATGGTATCAAGGGATATCTCAAATGCTATTGTTGAACCAAACTGATGCATTTTTTAAAAGTTCATTAACATTTTTAGTCTTGTAAGAATTTCAAATATTTATTATGTCATTGAAATATTTCGGCCGCTGAAGGTCACATAACAATTGCTTAGTTAACTTTCTCCCTTTATTAAAAGCATTAAAAAAACTGACCTTGGAGGTCATCCAAAGTAGTTTCCAAGGGATGAGCAAGTTCAAACACAGTTCAGGCAAGAATCAGTACCAGGGGCATCCACCCCGGTGAGCAAAAAGGGCACCAACAGAGTCCGGGAAGAGGGCCATAGAATGGGGCATAGTATATTTTAGGAAACCCATCCATGTTCCTGAAGGCATCTATTTACAGAGAATGGGATCCAATCAGAGGATTTTGGAATGTATTCGGCTCCAACCAAGAATGCTTCAGGTCTCCTGTCTTAAAAGGTGGCTATAGGGACGAAGTGGGGCGATCAAAAAACCTGTGGCTTCAAGGCCACGGTGCATAAGAGAGCCAGTCCTAAAAGAAAGGGGTTGTTTTGTAGAGTGGAATTCATAATCCGATTCTGTCCTCAATTGCTTCAGCCTCAGTGGCTGAGATTTCTGAGACAGGTGCTTTCTGTCCAGCTGAGATTCAAGATCGGCCCACGGAGCTGGGGCGCTGACAACTTTCTAGCCTCTTCTAACCTTTCTTCCGCAGGGGCAAGAAGATATTTGCAGGTCCTGCCAACCCCAGCTCCCATGTGCCTGCCTCACGGTGCTGCCACCCACTAACTTCAATCTCAAGACCAGCACCAACACAAATTAAGGTTTAATTGAGTATATCTCTTTGGGCGTTGATTAGTGGATTTCTGACCACTTAGCTCAAAAGGGATTCTATAATCCTAAAGAAATACCCTTTCCCTATCTATGTCTTGCTTATAAAAATCTTCATATAGAGAAGAACACATATATAGACAACTGAGGGAAACATGCCATCTGCTGGTGAAATATGTTGTTAATTTGCTGTTTTAATGCTTTTGAAGTTCTGGACGGTTCCAGAGTGGTCCACTGTGCCACTTGACAGCTAATAGTATTTGATCTGAAGGAGTGGGGAATATGAAGGAAGTAAGGTGAAGATTTTTACTCTACTTATTTTTCTACACAATAAAAAAAAAAAGGCCAGTAATTGATTTACCTTAGTTTTTTTTTTTTTTTAATGCGTTCTGAAGAAAAATTGAGAAATATCCTTACTGTTAATTCACACATGCTTCTCAAACATAATGTTGGAACACTAGACTTTTGAGGTGAGCAAAGGTATTACTAATACTAAATAATCAAGAGGTGATGTCAGCAAGATGGCAGAGTAGGAAGCCCTGGACCATCCTTCCCTTTGCAAATTCACCAACTCAACAACAGTCCATGAACAAATTTCCTTTGCAAGCAATCCAGGAACTAAGTGGAAAGTTCCTGCACTCGAGGTGACCGTGAAGCCAGAATCCCCAAAGCCAGTAGAGAGATTTGGGACACCCTCTGCCCAGAGTCCCTGCATCCGGCACAGCAGCATATGATCAGGAAGAAACCCCCTAACTCTTGGCTTCTCCCAAGGGGAGGAAGGAATTGGTTTGGGTGTCCAGTGCCCCAACTTTCCTGAGAGGGATCCCAGAGGACTAGCCTAGGTCTTGTCAGCCTTGGAGCTTGGGCGGATCTACCACAGAGGAGTACAGAGATGGCAGACACCATAGCTTCCCCTTCTTCCCAGCGCAGAGAGAGCAGATAAGAAAGTCCAGGTCTGGAGAGGGGCATCTGGTAAAAGCAGCAGGGCTACATGGGATTTGGCCCTAACAATCTGTCCAGCCTCTGCAGCAGGAGGTACGGCAGAGGGAACCGATTGCCCCAGGCAGATGGCCAGTTGGTCGGGGTGGCAGTGGCCACGCAGGCCTACAGGGCATGGATACCCAACACTAGGTTGTGGGGGAGCAAACTGCACACTGCCATGTGACTCCCAGAATCCAGGCAGGCCAGGTCCCCATCCTCATGTCTGGACTGTGTAGACAGGAGGCTGAGTCAGCAGTGTGGGTACCTGCAGGCCACTCCCTGCCGGGTCCAGCCTGCTCTAAAACAAAGGCTTAGGGGTTCCGGGGTGGCTCAGTCAGTTAAGCTCCCCGCCCTTGATTTTGTCTCAGGTCATGCTTTCACAGTTCATGAGTTCGAGCCCCACATTGGGCTCTGTGCTGACAGCACGGAGCCTGCCTGGGATTCTCTCTCCCTCCTCCCTATCTGCCCCTACCCTGCTTGTGCTCTCTCTCTCTCTTAAACTTTTTTTAAATAAGGCTTAAACATAAGACACAAACAGGTAAAGCTCCCAGAAAACAAACAAACAAAAACGGGCAAAGCTTCATGACACTGGTCTTGGCAGTGACTTCACAGATATAGCACTAAAGGCACAGGTAACAAAAACAGAAATAAACAAGTGGGACTAAATCAAAGTTGCCACACAATAAAGAAAACAATCAACAGAATGTAAAGTCAGGCTGTAGAATGGGAGAAAATATTTGCCATACATCTGATTCCAAAATCTATAAAGAACTCATAAAACTCAGTAACAAAGAAAACCTAATAGCTCCTTTAAAAAACTGGGCTAAGGGGGCACCTGGGTGGCCCAGTCAGTTAAGCTTCCAACTTTGGCTCAGGTCATGGTCTCACAGTTCATGAGATCAAGCCGCACGCTAGGCTCTGTGCTGACAGCTCAGAGCCTGAGCCTGCTTCGGATTCTTTGTCTCTCTCTTTCTCTGCCCCTCCCCAGCTCCTGTTCTGTCTCTCTCTCCCAAAAATAAATAAGCAATAAAATTTTTTTTAAGAAATAAATAAAATGGGCTAAGGACTTGAACAGACTTTTCTCCAAAGAAGACATGCAAATGGCCAACGGGTATATGAAGAAATGTCCGCTGTCACTTATCACCAAGGAAATGCAAATCAAAGCCACAGTGAGATGCCATCTTACACCTGCTGGGATGGTGTATATGTGTGTCTTTGTTAGGATGTGGACAAACTGGAGACCTTGCTGGCACTCTTGGTGGGAATGCAAACTGGCCCAGTTGCTTTGGAAAACTGTACGGAGGTTCCTCAAAAATTAAAAAATAGAACTACCAAAAAATATAGAACCACCATATTATTCAAGAATCCCACTTCTGGGTATGTATCCAAAATAATTAAAAACAGGATCTTGATATTACCTTATCTTGATTATCTTGATATTACCTTTCCCTTCCCTTTCAGTGCAGCACTAATTACAAAAGCTAACGTGTGAACAACCGAAATGTCTATTGACAGATAAATGGATAAAGACAATGTGCTGCACACGTACAATAAAATATTATTTAGCCTTAAAAAAATATGGAAATTCTGCAAAATGTGACAACGTGGATGGACCTTGAAAGGAGTACGTTGAGTGAAATAAGGCGGACACAGAAAATGAGAACTACGTTATTCCACGTGAGTAGTCCTATTCATAAAATCAAAGATGGGAACGGTGGTTACCAGGGGCCCAGGAGAGGGGGAAATGGGGAGTATTAATCAACTGACCTAAAGTTTCAGCGAAGTAAGATGAATAAGCTCTAGAGATCTGCTATTTAACATTGTACCTACAAGCCAACAATAAAGCACTGTACCCTTAAAATTTTGTTACGAGGATAGAGCTCAGTGTTCAGTGTTCTTATCACAATAAAAAGAATGCTAAATGATCAAAGTTTGTATCTTTGTTAACATTATAGTTTAAAAATCAGGATGAAAAGTTAATCTTACAAGAACATCATTTCTGCTCACTTGCTTTCCAGTATGTTCTCTTGAGTGGAATGAAAAGGAGGGTTCAGAGCCAGCAGGCTGGGATTTACACCTAACTCTGGCTAAAAGCTTAAGCACATCACCGTAGTAACCATCATCAGATTACATCCTGAGAGGAGGAAATGCCAAAACCAGGGAAAACTCTGGCTTTTATCGACTGCATCCCTGAAGAGACTTGCCTTGTCTTAGCATCGGGAAACAAGGCGCATGACCTCACCGTCCTGTAGTTAGATGGCAAATTATGTAAACTGACACGACACCTCTTCAGAGTTCATTGCTGAAAGGCTTAGAGTCAAATTTTTGGCCAACCTCTAAATACACATTAGGGCCTCGTATGCATTTCATCTACAACTCCACTCCTGGCTTCACTGGATCCATCCTACACTCTTCTTCCCCACATTCCACGTTCCTCCCCAATTATGTTGCTGGATCCAGGCGGCATTTACACAAGCCACCTTAAATCCTCTCAGAAAGATAGGGTAAAAATAAACATTAAGAATTGTTTGAAGGTTACCTGTTTTATTGTTATCATGCACACCCATACGTTTTTCACTTTGAGGTGAGTTTTTAACTTGAGGTAACGTTGAGTTTTCCTCCAGAGAGTATCTTCCGTTTTATTCCTCCCAGGAAGCTGTGCCACATGCTCGTATGTCAGTGCGAACTTACATGCATTATCTTCTCAAAGTTCTAAGAAAGAAAGAATATACTTGATGAGATACACAGAAAACTAACTTTAGAGCAATTGTGTGTTTCCATTTTGCACACAAATCCCTGACACGTGGTACAATCACACTTGGGAGATGGTCTCTTTTCTTTGCCAAGAATACTGCCTGATTCAGCAAGTAAACAATCAGCATGGGTTTTCAACCCAATAAGTGAATGAACAAATTCTGTGGACAGGGTTAATTAAAAACATTAACAGTGAGTAACTGCAGCTTTCTACCTGATCCTTTCAAGGATTCAGAATTGCTGGTTAAGCCAGAGGTGGGGAATAGAATTTGGAGGGAGCTGCGAAAGACAACAGGCCTGAGTGTGCAGCTCTTTATGGAACATACAGGAAAGTCAAGAGCAGGAGGTGATGACTGAGGAAGGAGTTTCAGGACCCAGAGGGACTCTGGGGACAGAGGTGTCCAACAAGGAGTTTTAGGAATTTCTTGGTGGTGGTGGTGGTGGTGGTATTCTATTTCGTTTGAAAAAAAAAAAAATTCCTTTATTTGGTATCTCTTCAAGAAAATTTAGTAAAGGCTTACTATTTATTTAAGGATTTTGATGTTGGGATTACATGCATTTTTTTTTAATGTGTTGTGAGGCAAGCTTCATTTTGTATCGTTTGAGGAGGGGGTTTGGAGAACTCTGTTGGGAGGGATCTTTGTGCTCTCCTGAGGAACTATTCTTTATTTTACTTTTAAGATATTTTTATTGTGGTAAAATGTATAGAACATAAAATTTACAATTTCAACTATTTTCAAGTATACAAATCAGTGGCTTTAAGTATGTCTGCATTGTTTGCAACTATCACAACCTATTTCCTTTCTTAAATTTTTTTTTCTTTTTTTTCTTAATTTTTTTTTAACGTTTATTTGTTTTTGAGACAGAGAGAGACATAGCATGAATGGGGGAGGGTCAGAGAGAGAGGGAGACACAGAATCTGAAACAGGCTCCAGGCTCTGAGCTGTCAGCACAGAGCCCGACGTGGGGCTTGAACTCACGGAGCGCGAGATCATGACCTGAGCCGAAGTCAGACGCTTAACCGACTGAGCCACCCAGGCGCCCTTCCTTTCTTAAATTTTTTTTAAAAAAATTATTTTTTTATTTTTGAGAGAGTTGAGACAGCGTGAATGTGCACACATGCGAGGGGGGAGGGGCAGAAGGAGAGAGAGACAGAGAGACAGAGAGAGGAATAAATAATATTCCATTGTAGGTATATACCATTTTTGTTTATCCATCCTTCTGTTGATGGACACTTGGTTTGTTTCTACCCTTTGGCTATTGTATATAATGCTGCTATGAATATTGGTGTTACAAGTATATGTTTGTATCCCTGATTTCAATTTTCTTGGATATATATCTAGGAGTGGAGTTGCTGGGTCACATATAATTCTATGTTTAACATTTTGAGGAACTACCACGCTGTCGTCCATAGTAGCTGCCCCATTTTATATTTCCACCATCATGTGTAAGGGTCCCCATTTCTCCACATCCTTACCAACACTTGTTATAGTCCTTTTTTTATTATAGCCATCGTAGTTAGGTGTGAAGTGACATCTCATTTTGGTTGTGATTTTCATTTCTCTAGGGACTAATTGTGTTGGGAATCTTTTCATGTGCTTGTTGGCCAGTTGTTGATCTTCTTTGGAGAAATGTCTGTTCAAGCCTTTTCCATTTCTGATATTAAACCCCTATCATACATAGAATTTGCAAATATTTCCTTCCATTCTGTGGGTTGTCTTGTCACTCTCTTCATAGTTTCCTTTGATGAACAAAATTTTTATTTTTGATTAAGACCATTTTATTTTTTCTTTTGTTGCCAGTGCCTTTGGCATATTTAAAAAATCACTGCCTAATCCAAGGTCCAACAGATTCACCCCTGTGTTTTTTTTCTAAGAGTTTTATAGTTTCAGCTCTTAAAAGTAGATCTTTGATCAATTTTGAATTAATTTGTGTATATAGTGTAAGGTAATGGTCCAACTTCATTATTTAAATTTTTTTACTGTTTATTTTTGAGAGAGAGAGCACAAGTGGGGTTGGGGCAGAGAGAGAGGGGGGGACAGAGGATCTGAAGCAGGCTCTGCGCTGACAGCAGTGAGCCCAATGTAGGGCTCGAACTCACGAACCACAAGATAATGACCCAAGCCGAAGTAGAATGCTCAATGGACTAAGCCACTGGGGTGCCCCCCAACTTTATTATTTTAAATGTAGATGTCTAGTCTTTCCAGTACTATTTATTGAAGAGACTGTTCTCATTTTACTGAATGATTTTGGCATCCTTTGTTGAACATCAACTAACCATAAAGTGAAGTTTTATTCATGGGTTCTCAATTCTATTCCATTTGTCTATCCTTATGCCACTACCACATTGTTTTGACTACTGTCTCTTTGTAATAACTTCTGAAATCAGGAGGTGGGAGTGCTCCAACTTTGTTGTTTTCAAGATTGTGTTGGCTATTCTGAGTCCTTTGAAATTTCATATGAATTTTAGGATGGGTTTTTCCACCTTTGTAAAAAACACCAAAGGGATTTTTTAGGGTTTTCATTGAATCTGTAGACCACTTTGCGTAGCACTGTAATCTTCACAATACTAAGTTTTCCAAGCCATGAACACAGAGTGTCTTTCTATTTATTTACATCTTCCTTAGTTTCTTCCAGCATTGTTTTATATCTTTCAGTGTAAAAGTCTTGTGCTTGTACACTGACTAAATTTATCCCTAAGTATTTTATTATTTTTTTTATGCTATGGTAAATTGAATTGCTTACTTAATTTCCTGTTGGGATTTTTTTCATTGTTAGTATATAGAAACATGAATGATTTTTGTGTGTTGATTTGTATCCTGAACTTTTACAGAATTAGCTCCAACAATTTTTTGTATGTGTGTGATTCTTCAGAGTTTATTAGATACAAGATCATGCTACCTGCTAATAATATTCCAATTTGGATGCTTTTATTTCTTTCTCTTGCCTAATTGCTCTGGCTAGACCTTCCAATACTATGCTAAATAGAAGTGAGTAAAGTCAGGATCTTGATCTTAGAAGAAAAGCTTTCGGTCTTTCACTATTGTAGTATAATGTCAGCTGTGGGTTTTTCACATATGGCCTTTATCATGTTGGGGAAGTTCTTTATATTCCTAATTTATTGAGTGTTTTTATCATGAAGGGGTGTTGGATTTTGTTGAATGCTTTTTCTGTTTCAGTTGAGATAATATCTGTTTTCTCCTTCATTCTATTAGTGTGGTGTGTTACATTCCTTGATATTCATATGTTGAACTACTCTCATATTCCTAAAATAAATCTCACTTGATCATGGTATATAATCCTTCTAATATGCTGTTGAATTTGGTGTGCTAGTATTTTACCGAGGATTTTAGAGTTGATATATTCATAAGGCTTATTGTTATGTAGTCTTCTTTTTCCCTCTTTGTCTGGCTCTTGTATCAGGGTAACGCTGACCCCACAGAATGAGTTAAGCTTTGTCTCCTTTTCAATTCTTTTGTGGAGCTTGAGAATTGGAGTTAATTCTTATTTAATTGTTTGATAGAATTCTCAATGAATGGAGAATTCTATCTGAAGCCATCTGGTTCTGGGTTTTTCTTTTTTGGCAAGGTTTTCATTACTGATTTGTTCTCCTTCCTTGTTATAGGTCTATTCAGATTTTCTATTTCTTCTTGAGTCAGTTTTGGCATTTTGTGTCTTCCCAGGAATGTGCATTTCACCTTATTTATCCAATTTAATGGTATACAATTGTTCGTAGAATTCTTATAATCCTTTCTATTTTTGTAAATTCAGCAGTAGAACGTCCCTTCTTTCACTTCTGATTTTAGTAATTTTTATCTTTTTTTTTTTCCAGGTCTCCTGAGCACTTATTCTTTCCCAGTGGGGAGGATGCAGGGGTCCAGTGTTCCAAGCGGTGCAAGCCCCTATGGATACCATATGAAGCCATAGGCAGCTGAGAAATCTCCTCCTTCATGGGCAGCCCTTAGAGCTTGCCCATCACAGGGGTTACCCAGCACATTGTGTAGAACACAGACTTACCCACCTTCCAGGCAGGCACGTCTTTCCAGAAGGTCTCTTCCTCCAGGTTCTCCCAAAGCATCTTGTAGGACCCTCTGTTCCTTCTCTGTCTGAAACAGTGGCATCAGTGCCATGAGGGTCTTGAAGTCCTCAATCTTCAGGTGCCTACAATGGGTTCCACGTCATCATGCTCCAGTACCCAAAGAGCAAGGTCCCAAAGCCCACAGCAAACATCCTGCAGCTCAACAGTCCCAGCACAGAAGGTTTCACTTGTAGTCACGGACCCATCACCCCCTCACCCCCCACCCCCCGCCACCCTGCTGCAGGGGCATGTCCTGTTTTACCTTCTCCACTACCATGCTGGCAGGACCTTTCTTTTGTCAAGGTTTTTGATCTTTTCAAAGGACAATTTTTTGATTTTGTTGATTTTTGATATTGATTTTATATTCTCCATATCATTTGCCTCCACTCTAATCTTTATTATTTCTTTCCTTCTGCTAAATTTGGTTTCGATCTGTTTCTTCTTTTTCTAGTTCCTGACAGTGAAAATTTAGTTTGTTAATTTGAGGTTGTTAATCTAATACTTTATTGCTCAAAAATTCCCTCCTGACACTGCTTCTGCTGCATCCCACACGTTTTGGTACTGTGATTTCATTTTCATTCATCTCAAAGCTTTTTCTAATTTCTCTGGTGATTTCTTCTCTAACCATTGGCTCTAAAAGTGTGTTGGTTTCCACATATTCATGAGCTTTCTAGTTTTCCTTCTGTTATAGATTTCTAGTATCATTCCGTTATAGTCAGAAAAGATACTTCATATGATTCTAATATTTTAAAAATCTATTAAGACTTTGGTGGTCTAACATATGGTTTACCTTAGAGCATATGCCTGGTGTACTTGAGAAGAATGTATATTCTACTGCTGATTGGTGGAATACATATCTTTTAGGTCTATTGGACTATAG